TCACCATACTCAAAACAAGCTCTCGGAGGACATGGCTGTTGGAATTGGCTCGGACGTGGTCGGTTGGATTGCCCGCTGAAAGTACCCCGTGCAGGAGGTGCACTAGACAATGGCGGTGCATAATGGGGAACCTGTGGCCTGGGAGTGGCCGGAATACTGTTGAAAGCTGGAAGTGCTGAATGAACAGGGCGGCTCACATAGCCCCTACCATGACAGGCTACAATTGGGGCACATGCACCACTATAGGTGCTAGAATCCCGAGGCCTCTTGGCCTCCCTCTCCTCTCTTTCCCTGGCCCACATACCCTACAATCTCCTAGCGATTTCCACTACCTGCTGGTATGGGATGTCCATCTCCAACTCTTAGGCCATGCTGAATCTGATACCAGGGTTGAGCCCCTCGATAAATCGATGAACTCGCTCTCTAACAGTAGCAACCATGGCTGGTGCATGCATGGACAAATCACTCTGTCGGACTACATAATCCAATACGGTCATAGCACCCTGGCGCAGCTGCTCAAACTCTGCGCGTCATGCATCCCTAAGACTTTGGGGAACAAACTCCCTCACGAACATATCTAAGAACTAAGCCCAAGTGAGCAAAGCTGCCTCAGCCGGACTACCCAACTCATACGTTCGCCACCAAGCTGGAACATAGTGAAAGTAACCCCACTCGACTCCACAATACCCATAGTATGGAGGATACGGTGGCACTCCTCAATAAAACCCTGGGCATCCTCTAACGCTAAAAGCAGCTCCCTTAAGCGGGAGTCTGTGCTCCTCCCCTGGCCTAAGATGTGGCAGGAGCAAGTGGGATCAACCCTGCTTGAGCAGAGTGCCAAATATGCTCAAAAACTAGGCGAGGGTCTCTTGAATTGCTGGGGCACTAACAGGCGCATCAGATGCATGTCCTCCAACTGGAACTACTGGTGGCTCCTCTGTATCAGCTCGGGTCGGTGCTCTGGATGCACCACGTGCCCGTCCTCGGCCTCTACCCCGGCCCCGGTCTCTCGCGGCTCTAGCATGGGATACGGGTAGAATATCATCTGATCCAGCTATGCGTTTCCCCACCATCAGTGAGAGAATAGAAATGCAGAGATTTGGAATTTAGAATTCAACAATTTCGCACGAAAAGAAGTGAAGCCTTTTCCTAATAGTTCCATAGCCTCCCGAAGATAAGTACAGACGTCTCCGCACCGATCCGCGAGACTCTACTAAACCTTTTTGTGACTCGTAACACCTATGAACCTAGAGCTCTGATACCAACTTATCACGACCCCAATTCTCCCTCCGTAGGATGTCATGACGGCACCTAGTCTCTAAGACTAGGTAATCCTAGAATTCATGTAGAAACGACTAACGCAATAATTTAAGGTCTCAAAAATTTCAACAACTATATAAAATAGAATCTGCAACTCAACATATACAACTCCCAAAACCCGGTGAAATACAAGTCACAAGCTCTATAAAGTGATGCTGAATATCTCTATACATCAGTGTCTAATAAAAGGATAATGAAATAAAGGAAATCTAGGTAGAAGGGGACTCTGAGGCTTGCGGACGTCGGCAGGTGTACATTGAAGTCTCCAAATACGAACTCAGCTCATTGATGCCGGGACTAGTAGGAGGTACCTGGATTTGTACAAAAAGATGTGCAGAAGCGTAGCATGAGTACACCACAGTAGTACCCAGTAAGTGTCAAACCTAACCTCGGTAGAGTAGTGATGAGGTCAGGTCAAGGCCCTACTAGACTAGATAAGAAGACTGTACAAGAGTATGGCAGTGTAGTAATGATAGTAATGAAATTAAAACATCAAATAACACATAAAGGTTAGCTACACGGAACTAAAGCAAATAGAGCAACACGAAGAAAACAAGAAATAATACGCTAAAGAAACAAACAACCAAAGACAAGTGCAGCAATAAAGAAATATCAACAAGAGTCACTACCGAGGCACCGCCTCGTAGTCTAAAGTCACAAGAATAACTCACAAGCTTTCCTTATATCACCGCGGGAGCCTTGCATTTTAGTTTTTGAAAATCATTTTCCCGAAATAGCATCCCTCATTTTAGCTCACCTTATCACACCGCATGGCTTCTAGTAGTTCCCCTACTAGCCACGCGTATCAAGCCCACCTTATCTCACCGCATGTGTTTCAACCCCAAAACCTTATACCACCGCATGCGTATCAATATCACAATATACCACAAATCGCATCTCAAGTGCCCGATATCACAACTTGCCAAAAGAAATCAACAATAATAGTATTTTCACAATAAGGAGCCCACGGCTCAACCACAATGTACACAAAGTCTCAACAATAACAACCGGAAGTGAATAACTCAACAGAATGATATGGCACAACTTAACACTTTGCCTCAATAGAAATCACGGCCTTTGTAACTCAATACCATTTTCAACAACAAGATATTCCAAGAATGACAACTTCAAGTAAAAAGTTCAACAGTTAAATAATGAATACAGGAATAAAGAAAACAATAACTTCAACTAAACATGTAGAACAATTAACAAGTAAGATATAAGACACATAGAACATGTGAAAATAGACTAATGATGACGAATATAACATGATAGGATAACTCAATTAAGGCATGAAAGGAATCTACATAGCTAAAACCGGTAATTTTCACATTTAGCCCATGTACACACTTGTCGCCTTGTGTACACGGCTTTCACCAGAGGCGGATCCACACTTTGAAGTTTATGGGTTACTATAACGATTTTAAATTATCAATTGGGTTCACAATTAAATATTTATCGATATTTAATGGATTTTTTTAATACATATACAAAGACCGTGCAAAAGCTACTGGGTTCCCGGGAACCCGCACGCTACCCTCTAAATCCGCCACTGGCTTTCACACATCACAATTATCACAAACAACACCAATCCAAAGGAGCAATTCCCCCACACAAAGTTAGGAAAGTCACTTACCTCAAATCCTGCTAATTCAATCCACCATTAAGCCTTTCCCTCGATTTATCTAACTCCGAACAGCTCGAATCTAGCCAAAACAACTTCATACTATAAATATAAACTGTAGGAAACTAATTCGAACAATAAAATTATGATCTTTACAAAGAAATAAAAAGTCAACTCAAAAAGTCAACCTGGGCTCGCGTCTTTGAACCCAACCAAAATTACAAAATCCGAACACCCATTCGATAACGAGTCCAACCATACAAGAATTACTGAAATCCGGCCTCAAATCGCCTTCCAAATCAAAGTTTAGCCTAAGAAGTTCCCCAATTTCCCCCCAAATTTCTAACTCCAAACACTACACTAACTAAATGATAAAAACAACAATAGATTTGTGTTTGTGTAATTTAACCAAAATCGAGTTAGCAATTCTTACCCCAATATTTTACCTGAAAATCTTTTGAAAAATCACCTGACACCGAGCTCTCTAAGTCGAAAAGTGGATTATGAAAATCAAACCCTCGAACAAGACCTTTCTGCCCAGCGACTTCCGCTTCTGCGGCCTTTTTGTCGCTTCTGCGATGACTCACCTGCAGAAAAACCATCGCAGGTGCGGATTTCACTTAACAGAAGTCTCGCACCTACGGCTCTTATCGCTTCAGCGGACACTGTCCACTTCTGCGATCCAAGGCCTCCCTGGCCTTCTCCGCTTCTGTGATGCATTCCTTGCATCGGTGAGTCCGCTTTTGCGAAACATGGACCGCACCTGCTGTCCCAGCTAGCCATGATAAAACACGCTTCTGCGGCTCGAGGGCCACTCCTGCGGCGCCTCACCTGCGGCCCTAAATGCGCAGGTGTGATTGCACGAGAAGGAGCAGTGCCTTAGAAATCTCACAAGCCCAATTTTGATCCAGATTCAATTCGTTTCACACCCGGGTCCCCCGGGACCCTGTCCGAATATACCAACAAGTTTCAAAATACATAACGGACCTACTCGAGGCCAAAAATAACATCAAACAACATCGATTCTACTAATTGCGACCCAAATTCAAGCCTATGAAACTATGAACTTTCGAATTCTAAAACCAATGCTGGTTCATACCATGACAACTCCGATTGACTTCAAATTTTGCACACAAGTCATAAATGACACGATGGGCCTATTCCAACTTCCGGAATCGGAATCCGACCCTGATATCAATAAAGTCAACTCCCGGTCAAACTTCCCAATCTTCCAAACCTTTAAATTTCCAACTTTAGCCAATTATCGCTGAAACGACCTACGGACCTCCAAATCAACATCCGGACACGCTCCTTAGCCTAAAATCACCATACGGAACTAATGGAATCGTCAAAACTTCATTCCGGAGTCGTCTACATAAAAGTCAAACTACCGTCAGCTCTTACAACTTAAACCTCCGACTTAGGGACTATGTGTCCCAATTCACTCTGAAACTCTCCCGAAACCAAAACCAAATACCCCGGCAAGTTACGTAACCACAATATAACATGGAGGAGGCAATAAATAGGGGATCGGGGGGCTAAAATACTCAAAACAACCGGCCGGGTTGTTACATCATCTTATTCGAGTGCGTTTCTTATGTGTTCTTCCATGGACAAAGAATGTCATATTTATAGTACACAAGATACACCCAAAGTTTACTAAATACTTCCCAGGACTTGATAGGTACATCTATCGAAGTAGTATGTTAAATAGAATGTATAAATAGATTAAATGAACGTTCATATACATTCACTTATTTATAACATATATTTTTAATAATTGCACAGATATATAAAGTTCCCTACTAAAAACTATTATATAAATTAAAGGGAGAACTTGTGATGCGAATTTCAAGAGAAAAATCAATAAGAAACTATATTTTTAGGCTAGCAATTGTTTGAGTTTAAGTTGAATATTCATGAGATGTAAAATTCCCTAAAATATTATATTAAGTACACAAAATTTCCTCTTGCTAAGATTGTGACATGTATACAACTATAAGCAACTCAAGGGCACTCTCATTGGGGGCGGGGGCGGGGAGGGGAAACAGTATTTGAATGGAAAGGATAATGAATAGAACCAAACTGAACGTACAATCATCAAAGAGCTTCGTACAATACACATTATTACGAGCGTACATCTTTCTTCTTTTTTGTTTGTTTGAAGAACCACCAAAAGTTCAAATTTCAAAATTAGAATTAGAATAGCCCTCCATCGGCGCGCTCACACCAAGTCCGCCGCAACCGCAACGGCAATGGCAGGGATATCGAAGGCGGCGCCGGGAGCATTTACGATAACACCACACAAGCTCTCAATTTGCATTCTCATTCAAGTCTATGCTACTCCCTCCCAAACCTCTGTCCCTTTCCCTTTCTCTTCTGTCTCCCAACACAATCTTCTCGCCTCCTTCTTATTATCTCTCACTAAGGTAATTTTTTCTTTTATCTCTCCCTAACTGTCAAATTCTGAGTGATTATTAGAGAGTCGATTAGAAATTTTTCAGTTTCAATCGTAGTTAATTATCTGCTGAAAGTGTTTTTTTAACTGTACAACACTAAGCACTGATTTTGACTGTGAAACTGCTTCGGTGAAAATTGATGCTGGTTAAATCCGGTAAAAGGAACTTCTGAAATAATAAAAATTTAGTTATTTCTTACTGCTTTAGATAATATATCATGCTTATTAAAATATTTAGTTATTCAGCAAGCAGTTTAACTGTAATTAAGTTTATGAAAAAGTGGTTTTGTTTATATGATAACTATTCACTGATTTTTTTCACTATCCGATCTAGTGATGTAATCAGATAAAAGAACCAAATCAAATAGCCCCTAGAGGTTGGCATTTTTTGCTGCTTTTTACTGTATTAGAACTGGATTTATGTTGATAGGGTTAGAATTTCTGATTTGAGCCTAATTTTCTTCATTTCCAGAAAAAAAGGGTACCTGAAACTTTTTCTATGGTGTTTGGTATGCATTATGCTGATTTGAATTTTATTAGTCATTTAGGAGTTAGGACTATATATCAATGATTTTGTGGGCAAATTGGTTGGCGGTCTAAATCTCCAACCACAGTGTAGAGAATGCTGTTTGAACAGAGTAAATTTGTCTTTTTTCCTGGAACAGTCTTCTGAGGATATTTTTGAGCCAAAGCTGGATGAACTCATCTCACAGCTGAATGAAATTGGAGGCGTACTGAAGCATTGGTTGAGCGACCATTTAGCTGGAAAGCTATCATCTTTAGCCTCACCTGACGATTTGTTTAACTTTTTTATTGATTTGCGTGGTAATGGAACTTATTATTAATCTAAGTTTGTAACCTGCTTAGCTTTTTATTTACGAAGTTTTATCATTTATGTTATTATTATGAATAGGCATACTTGGGGGTTCTGATTCAAATGTCATGGATGACGATCAAATCATTTTGGATCCTAGCAGCAATCTTGGAGTCTTTGCTCGTCGTTGCTTACTTGCGTTTAATCTATTGTCATTTGAGGTACTATTGAACTATTCATTATCTTGTTAGAAGGACTTGGCTTTGTCAAGACAATGGCACCGATGAAGCATAAAGTTCAATGCATGAGTCTTAAGTGTTATTCTTCTTGTGCAGTCATCGTATTATTGAACAATTTGGATTTTGATTTTACTTTTCCAATTTGACTTGATATTGCGATTTATTTTTGCTTGGATCATGCATAGGGTAAATCCACTCAATAAAAGGTTGATAAACATTATCTCTGGACTGTTTTCTGTGTAGGCTGTCTGTCATCTTTTGACAAATGTAGCAACATATTGCAAGGAATCTCTCTCAGCTTATCCTCCTTATGAGTTATCACATTTTAACGATTCTGATAGCTATACTGACGCACCAAAGCACTATGAGAACATGGATTTGGAGAATTTTGTTGTTGAGAAAATCAACAAAGAAATCGAAGCAAGAAATGTGGTTGATGAAAAGCTTTCCTTCCACAATCATGCACCTAAAGCTCTAGTTAGATCTATTGAAGGTATTTTTCTTTGGTATATTTGTAGAAGTAAAATCATGTTTGTGTGCATTGGGAAAGATCGATTCCTGTATGGTGCAAAATTTACGTGCAATCATTCAGTTGAGGATGCTGCTATTATCACTTCATGAGAAAGGGCTTTGTGTTCCAAAAGAAAGAGTAGAGTTATGCTTCTTCCAACTGTATTTTCTAGCTATTTGTAGGAAGGATAATCATTCTTTGTAGTTATTCCAACATGAACAAGGATTTTAGTGCATCAAATAGGTAGTACGCAATTTAAAGCACTATTCAGATTTACTGTGTGAACGACGAACAAAACCAGGATTCTAATTTCAGATGATATTCTCATGTTGAATTTAGTTCACATTCTATGAAATCCAGATCCAGTTGGATACCAAGCTTCATGAGATCTCGTAGTTTTGCGTCCTTTTTCTGTGTAGATGAGTAACATATTCAGAAGCTTGGTCAGTAAGTATACAAACTACGGGAGTTTCCCATTAAGGGAATTCTGAAAAATAACACGAACAAAAGCTGCAGCAGCTATTATAGACCCTTACTGATTGCTGTAGTAGACTTGCTTACCTGCCTAAGACATGATGATTTTGTAGACGAATAACTTATTTTGAAGACTATCAACAGAAGTATAAAGGATATATGGGCATTTTCCTCTTATGCATTAGAAAATATTAAGGAAATTCCAGGAAGTAAAATTAACAGAAGCTGTAGTGACTATACCGACCTTTACTGATTGCTGTAGTGGTCTTATTTACCTTCCTAAGATGTGATGTGTTGATGTCTGCTCAGTAATCCGGGTATCTTATTCAGCTTTGAACTGTCTTTGGTTCTTGCTTACTGAAATACTTGGAAATGAATAAGCCTAGATAAACGATACTTATGCTTTTTTAGTGCTTAATGTTAGTCATGGGTTGCAGATCATTATTCTTCTCCTGGACCACAAATCAAAAGAATCACTAAGCCAAGAGAAGTTAGCACATGCGCATCTTCTTCTTGTGATGCATCGGATTGTGTTGATTCTCAGACTGGAGCTTTCTTACGTACAAATTGGCAAATACAAGGTTATCTCTTGGAGCAAGCTGATACAATTGAAAGGTGACTGAAGTTTTATCGAATACTTATGTCAGCATATGTTTGTCTAGATTCTTAAGTAAATAATTTATCTTCTCTTTCAGGCAGGGAAGCTCCTTCACTCTCAATGCTTTTGAGTCTGTATTGAAGGACCTTCTTAAACTAGCTCCAGAGTTACATCGCGTAAGATACTATGGAGTGATGTGTTTAGGGGATTTGAGTTGAATTTGTATTATCTGTCTCGAAAGTAACTTTTTCTGCTTTTATGAAGGTTCACTTCTTGCGTTACTTGAATAGCCTTTATCATCAGGACTATCATACTTCTCTAGAAAATATCCACCGGTATTTTGATTACAGGTATACTTGTATCGTCTATTATGTTGTATCTACATTTCAAACGTCCTTCATGTTTGCATTAATAACAACTCGCAGAATCTTTGGATGATGCTCAGTGTAGTATAAAGCATTAGTTAGCCGGTAACAGTTTACTCAAAGACACCAGCAATCTGCCAGGAAATACTAGCCATGTGGTTTGAGGAATGATATTCTGTTTACTTATTCTAGGCAACCATAATGTGAGCTTGGGGATTACCCTTGCAATTCTATGGGCGTCCCCGTGATTAGACTATGACCGAGCAAGCTAATTTCTACCTGACAATCGTATCATCAATGATGATCTTATCGTGCTTATGAACCTGGACTAATAAGGCCTTGGGGCAATGAGGATTTGGTTCTATCTTCAAGTTAAATGGTCGATTCCTAAGATCAATAACAACAACAATCCAGTAATAATCCCACTAGTGGGGTCTGGGGAGGGTAGAGTGTACGCAGACCTTACCCCTACCCGTGAGGGTAGAGAGGTTGTTTCCGAGAGACCCTCGGCTCAACAACAAAAGATCTGTAGCAACAACAGAAAACATACAAATGAGATCAGCACCGTAAGTGACAACAAATAAGTGGGAAGGACAATAGTTATGGCAGTAATAAAAATTGAAAATAAACTATAAAATAAAAGTAAAAAAATAATAAACAAAAAATAGAAAGTGTGATGGAACAATAACCGCTAGCAGTCCTATATAAAACACTATCAGACTAGCTAGAACAACGAAGAAAAATGCTCAACTACCCCCTAACCTACAACCCTAATGCTCGACCTCCTCACCTCCCTATCCAGGGCCATGTCCTCGGAAATCTGAAGTTGCCCCATGTCTCGCCTTATCAACTCGCCCCCAATATTTCTTAGGCCGCCCTCTACCTCTCCTTGTACCTGCCAAAGCCAACCGTTCACACCTCCTAACCGGGGCATCTAGGCTCCTCCTCCGCACATGTCCGAACCATCTAAGCCTCGCTTCCCGCATCTTGTCGTCTATGGGAGCCGCGCCCACCTTCTCCCGAATATCTTCATTCCTAATCTTATCCAGCCTAGTGTGCCTGCACATCCATCTCAACATCCTCATTTCGGCTACTTTCATTATCTGGATATGAGAATTCTTGACTGGCCAACACTCAGCCCTATACAGCATGGCCGGTCTAATCACCGCTCTATAGAACTTACCTTTAAGTTTCAGTGGCACCTTCTTGTCACACAGGACTCCGGACGCTAACCTCCATTTCATCCATCCCACCCCGATACGGTGCGTGACATCCCCGTCGATCTTCCCATCTCCTTAGATAATAGACCCTAGGTACTTGAAAAACTCTCTCTCTTAGGGATGACTTGCGAGTCAAGCCTCACCTCCCCGTCTGCTTCCCCCGATACATCGCTGAACTTGCACTCCAAATATTCCGTCTTGGTCCTACTCAACTTGAAACCTTTAGACTCCAGGACCTGCCTCCATACCTCCAGTCTTTCATTAACGCCGCCTCTCGTCTCATCAATCAGAACTATATCATCAGCAAACAACATACACCATGGCACCTCCCCTTGAATATGGTGTGTCAATGCGTCCATTACTAGGGCAAATAAGAACGGGCTGAGCGCAGATCCTTGGTGTAACCCCATAACTACTGGAAAGGGCTCTGAATCACCCCCCATAGCCCTAACCCGAGCCTTAGCTCCATCATATAAATCCTTTATCGCCCTAATATAAGCTACCGACACACCTTTCACCTCCAGGCATCTCCAAAGAGCGTCCTTAGGGACATTGGCATACGCCTTCTCCAGATCAATGAACACCATGTGCAAATCCCTCTTCCTATCTCTGTATTGTTCCACCAACCTCCTGATAAGATGGATAGCTTCTGTAGTAGAGCGACCAGGCATGAACCCGAACTGGTTTTCTGATATAGACACCGCCCTCCTTACCCTCCCTTCCACCCCCCTCTCCCAACTTTTCATAGTATGACTTAGTAACTTTATACCCCTATAGTTGTTACAATTCTGGATATCCCCTTTGTTATTGTACAACAGAATCATCGTACTCCACCTCCACTCATCTGGCATCCTCTTCATCTTGAAAATAACATTAAACAGCTCAGTCAGCCACTCCAAGCCTGTTTTACCCACATACCTCCAAAATACAATTGGAATCTCGTCTGGTCCGATCGCTTTGCCCCGACTCATCTTACACATTGCTCCCGCGACCTCCTCCACTTTAATACGCCTACAGTACCTAAAGTCTTGGTGACTCTCGGAATGCATTAACTCCCCTAACACGATGTTTCTGTCCCCCTCTTCATTCAGAAGTCTATGAAAGTACGACTGCCACCTCTGCTTAATTTGGGCCTCTTCCATCAATACTCCTAGGATCAATAAGTTTTTTGTAAAAGCAATGACTAGAAGTTATGTTGACAAACATAAAGTTTGAGGTATAATTAAGCAACCCATAAAATTCTAGAAGGTTTTTATAGATGCTTTGTCTTATGTTCTCAGATGTAAGGTGGGCTCCCTTCCCACTACTTACCTGGGTCTCCCATTGGGCGCTTCGCATAAGGATACTACAGTTTGGAATTCAGTGATCGAAAGGGTTGAAAAAAGATTAGCAGGCTGGCATAAACTGTACTTGTCAAAAGGCGGAAAGGAAGTGCTTATTAAAAGCACTTTATCGAGTATGCCCACCTATTACTTGTCCCTGTTGCAAGCTCCTGTGAGCATCACAGAAAAACTGTAGCGGCTTCAAAGGAATTTTCTTTGGGATGCGGCGGATGGAACTAGAAAGTATCATCTAGTGAATTGGCAGACAGTCACTTCCCCAAAGAAGTGGGATGGACTTGGAGTAAAAGATCTTAGGGTATTCAACAGAGCTTTGTTGGGGAAATAGCTGTGGAGATTCGAGGTAGAAGAGCATGCTCTATGGAGGGAGGTCATAGTGGAAAAGTACGATTCCACGGGAGGGGGTTGGAGGACCAAGGCAATCACAACACCTTTCGGGTATGGCATGTGGAGGAGCATCATGAAGAATTGGGAATCCTTCAGTGGCAATATCACTTACAGGGTGGGAGATGGAAGGAGAATTAGCTTTTGGAATCATAGGTGGTGTGCTCTGAGGGTCTCCTTCCTCCACGTCTTCAGAGTTCAAACCAGGAGGAACTGATGGTCCAACAGATTCGTAAGGAGCATGAAGGGGGGGGTAGTATGGGACCTCTCATTTAGAAGGAACATGCAAGATTGGGAGATTGCGGAGCTCCAAGATTTATTGACACTGCTATATGGGCAAGGCAGGCCCCATCCATCTTGTGATTCTTGGAGATGGGGTTTGCGTGGCGATGGTTTGTTCACCGTAAAGTCCTTTTACCAAAGTATGTTGGTGAGAGAGGAGGCCTCTTTTCCATACTCCTCGATCTGGATTCCTAAGGCGCCCACGAAGGTGTGCTTTTTTGCATGGCTAGCGGCGAGGGGAGTGATTTTGACTGCTGAGAATCTGCGAAAGAGAGGAATTACACTTGTTAGTTGGTGCTATATGTGTAAAAGCTCAGGGGAAGAAGTTGATCATCTTTTGTTGCATTGCCCTGTGTCCTCGGCTTTGTGGAGGGCGATCCTGAACCTTTTTGGTGTTCAATGGGTGATGCCAAGCACTGTAAAGGAAATGTTATATAGCTGGGCCAGTTTCCATAGAAAAAGAAAGCAAAAGGCGTGTAAATTCGCCCCGTTAGCTCTCATGTGGATAGTTTGGGGGGAGAGAAATAGGAGAGCTTTTGAGGGGATTGAGTCTCCTTTTTCACATCTTAAAATAGTCTTTTATCTTTGATTGCTTTTTGGTGCACTCATGTAGCCCCTACTTGTATAGAGGATTGGGCGTCTTTTGTAGAGAATCATGTTCTGATGTAATTTCTCTACTTTTTGGTATACTTCCTGTATACGGGAGTTCTCGCCCTTTTGATTAATACAATTTACCTTATTAAAAAAAGATGTTGTGTCCTAAATCTATTGAAAAGTAAGAATTGTCCCATAGCTCATTGAAGCAATGTTAATTTAAGGACGGTTGGCCTAGTGATCAGTGAAGTGGTGAGAACCATGGGGTCTCAGGTTCAAATCCAAGCAGAGGAGAGAAAACCGATGAGATATTTTCCAATCTGTCCAAGTTTTGGTGGATAGAATTACCCGATACCTGTTGTTGGTGGAAGGTGGCAAGTATCCCATGAAATTAGTCGAGGTGTGCATAAGTTAGCTCGGACACCCTGGTTTCAAAAAAAAAAGGAACAGAGAGTAAATTGCGGGGCTTGGGGGTGGGTTAATGTGTCATGATCATTATTACTAGTGTGAAATTAAGAAAAATTTCTCATTAACTTAATTTTTCTTAACTATTTACAAGAGATGTTCCTTATATGGGGGTCTTAGGCTACATACTTCTCTATGCTAATAAGGTAAGTAAATATTCCGTAGTCAAAATAAAGATTATCCTACAGTATTCTATATAATATTCTATAAGATGTTCTTTGTTCAAGTACAATGAGGACGTGTATGAATTTAGACTTGACATTCTAAGTTTCTAACGGACAGCCTCAAACTCAAAAGTCAAAGTGGAGAGACCAACTCGAGTTTGCTTATATTGGAATAACAGAAATTTGACGTTGAAATCTCGCTGGGATAGTGCACAATTACAAAAAAGCGGCGCTAGAGTCCTTTCCTCCGAAAAGTCATTGGTAAGTACACAATGAAAGAAAGTGCTTCTTGCACTACTATGTAATTGAAGAGTTTGAGAGTACACAGTGAATCCACCCGCCATAGAAAAAGGAATTTATTCTCAACCATGTAAAAAGGATATGGTGTTGTAAATTTCCAAGACATTATCAACCTAACTTAAATTGCAGAACAATGACAAATAATTCAAGGTTTATAGGAGGGCACTGATAGCATAGAAGTTAGTAGCATCTATCGGTGTGATCGGTCATGCCATCAGGATGATCACCATGAATGATCCTAAAGAGAGGAGCATCACCTCAATAATTGTTATAGAGAAGAGCATCGCCTGGACGGTCATCCAGAAAGTAACGGTGCCGGTTGTCGAAGAGAGGAGTGGTGTTGGATACAAGGAAGAAGAGAAGAAGAACAATGGCCGTGGGGCAACACATATTGTCCAGCGCAGCCCGCCAGTAGCTTAAGTTATTTGAATCTCTAGCAAGATTGTAGAGGCTATGGTACCATGTGAAAATAAGGAAAACTTCTCATTAACTCGATTTTCTAAAACAGCTTGTAAAGAAGTGCTCCTAATAAAGGAGTCTTATGCTGCGTACAATATGGTAAATAATCAATCTCCATACTAGTAAGATAAGTAAATATTCCTTAATAAAATACATAATACACTGCAATAGTACCAGATTATCCTTACTCAAGTACGATGAATTCAGACAGATATAAATCTAGACACATATTCACTTGACTCTAAAACCTTGCAAATAGATCTGAGAAATATTTTTACCAAAGTGCAGGGACGGAAGGATGTGATTTTATACCTTCTTCTTCAACCGGTTGCAATAGCTTTGGGAGATACGAAGTTGCTTTATTATGCTTGGGAATGATGCATTTTCATTTTGGGCACCCAAAGCAAGCTTTGGAGGTAGGCATATTCAACGTCATTTCCTACCTTCATTGTCCATGTTATGTTTTTCATACTTTATTGATTTTGATGTAGGTCATGCCCCCCTTATTGGTGGGCTGAAGGTGAGGGTGGGCGTAGGAGTGGTCTTAGGATCTTTGCTGTTCCACTTTGGCATAACAACTATTTGCTTGATATTTTCAGGTGTTGACAGAAGCTGTTCGTGTGTCTCAACAGGTGGCCATATTTGTTCCTTCCTTTTTTTCGACTATGGCTTCCCTTCTCTTATATATTATTATCTTTTATTCCTTTTTGCACTGAAGTGGCATATAATATTGTTTGTTCACCTGCGTTGATACAGATGTGTCATATTGAGAAAATTTTCAGATGAAAGGCAACCAAGATTAAAACCACATGATCTTATAATGGCTATCAACATATGCATTTGCGATGATACAGCTAATGTTGATAAAATGCTTAAAAAATTTGCTTTTTTGATCACTTCTAGCAATAGTTAGCAAGTCAAAAGTGAAGGCTTGGTTGGTTGAGCTCCTTCTTCTGTCTTGCTATGTTTATCTCTAGTTTAAGGAGGGAAATAAAGTCAGTTAATGGTGCTTTAAGGGGAAGAAACTCGAAGCGGCTGGACCCATATAAAATTAACTTTTACTCAGCCACTCAATTACCATCGACACCTCAAGTCAAGCATAATACTTCTTCCATCTCTTTTTGTTGAATATAGCATGAATGACCATGGAGTTTAATATTGTAATTGACTTGTTATTATATTAGTAGGAGTAGAATTATTATCATTAATTGATAAGTTTGCATGATGTGAAATGTATATTGTGATTGTCTGAATATGACTATTTGAAATGATTAGAACTATCAAAGAACGAGAGTGTTGATAATATTATTATTTGTACAAGTGAATCAACCATTTTGGACATTGCAAAAATGGAGGCGTATCACACAGATTGGGATGGAGGGAGTACTTTTGGGCCAACTATTCTTTGGGGAGTCATATAATTATTCTGTGCACATACCTTTCCCGTCATTTGTTTTTGATAATAAATGGACCTTTGGCCTAACTCAACCCCAAAAACTAGCTCATGAGGTGAGGATTGTCCAAGTTCACATAAGGAGACTAAATCCTCATCCCACAACCGATGTGAGACAAACTCAACAGTTTTCTATAAGATTTTTTTTGACTATTTTGTAATTGGTTTCTTGCCGCATAGTGCTCATGGGGAAACCTGTTTGCTTGTTTTACATGGATCTTTTGCTATTTCGGCTGTTCATGCTCTTTGATAGAATCTTCTTTCTCTTCTTTCTGGTAATTACAAATTTATCTGGGACAAAAAGCTCTCCTTTGATGTGCCATATTTTCACAGTTAGCTATCACCAGTTTCAAGTTTTGTTTCTTCTCAAGTGGTACAATTGCTGGGTAGAGCATTTGCTTCTGTAAAGGAAACATGATATTGAGTGACCTGACTTAGGACAGAAGAACCCATAATTTACTTGAAGTTAACTCAGTTAAAGCAAGTCCCTAATCTTGGTCTAGTTTAGTTGTATTGTCTATTTTGTGTCAAAGAGTTTTCCTAACAAGGAGTTAAAAATGCAATTGATGTATACCACCTTTCCTATGTTAAAGAAGTATATCATCATAGCAGTCCCAATTATCTCGCAATCTTTTGATGAGTAGTTTGGAGACCATTGAATTTCCTGCATTCCTTCTTTAGGCATTTTTCATTATTTTGTGTTATAGGATTATGAACAAATACTTTTTCTTGTCACCAACTAGTTGACAAATGATTGGTTTTGCAATATTTTCTTGCATGGGGTGTCTGTACAAGATGATGAATGAACACTGCTATTTAATTGATGCCCATTGAACCTTTTCATAATTGGATACCGGGGAAATTAGCGCAATTATTGTTTGCCAAAATAAAAAATCAAGATCTACATATACTATACATAAAAAATACTACGTCTATTTTCATCCTTGGTCTCTCTGCAACTTATTTCAGTATCCTAGAAATTTCCGTCACATCTTATATTGTAACAAAAGTTACATACAAAAGTTACATAGATCCTTTCTCTACACTTTCCAATGCAACTCCTCATTTTTATTTTCTTAAATATCTGAAAGTAACTTTTAGCAGTTTTTCCTGATGTAAAAACAACAAACTTCAACCGTTGTTTAAACAATCATCTAAATCAGAACAAAAGGCTCCATTTGGGAAGGAGTTTTAACATTTTTTATCAAATTGCATAACATGCTTAGCTGACGGCTAAACGTGCAAACTCTGAATGGAGAAAATTGAAAAGATACTGAAATTACAAATCTCCAAAATGGCACTGTGATTAACAGTAAGTGGCGAAGGAGCTCCAAGAAAATGGAGATGTCTCTTCACTATCAGCTGAATCCAATCAGAATTGTTTTTAAATGCTAAAAATGTGAATCCCGCTGATGAAAAGGCACAAGTGGAACTCGGTTGAAGTGTCAATGTCTTCAATGGTTTCGGCCTGTCTTTCACTGTATTAATCAAAACACTGGTAGATAGTTTTTAACTTCTTTTCCAGGAGAGAGCAATAAATATGGTTATCCGGTCCTCCCAGATATCAGTTTGTTTCAACCATAAACAGGCTTGATGTGCCTGTAATAACTTTTTCCCTGTAGAGTTGCCTCTTTATTTAATTTATAACATCCCTTACTAGGAGATCTAATATTTCTCCTCTCTTCATATGCAGCAAAATAATGATAGTTGTCTTGCTTACACGTTAGCAGCAATTTGCAAGCTGTTGTCTGAATTTGGAGTCTCAAATATGAGGGGGCTTATCGGATCATCCTATTCACCTGTAACCAGTATAGGAACTTCATTATCCACTCAACAACTCTTATATGTTCTCTTGAGAAGATCCTTAAAGCGAGCGGAAAGTCTAAAGCTGAAACGACTGGTTGCATCTAATCATCTTGCCATGGCTAAATTCGACCTGACTGTAAGCACTTTAATCACTCTCTTGTTTATGCATTGCAGTGACCAAATAATTAATGGTGATATTTAATCATAGCATACACCAAGGTAGACCCATTTGCATGAGTAAAGTGTTTATGTAAAGGCACCTTCTTTTAAAGAAAAAAGTGCGTAGGTGTAAAGTGAAAAAAATGTAAAGGCAGTAAGAAATAGAAGCGGTACCCATTCTCGCTCATTCATGTTGCAAGGTGTTACTCATTTTTTGTCCTTGAATATGTCGCACGAATTACTCAATTGAATTTGTTGCTTTTGGGTGTTCATTCATTCAGATAAGACAATTAAAGTGTAACATAACATCTTTTTATTGGGTTTTGGATAATCCAATGGAGGGATGGTGAATTTTGAGATCCGGAGAGTATGCGAAATAGCCAGTGCGAGGTATTATTCATGAACTTAATGTAATATTAACATTTCTTACTTTATTTAGAGGCCGTTTGGATTAGCTGATTTGAAGTAGCTGATAAGCATTATGTGCTGAAAAGCACTTTTAAGTGCTGAAACTGATTTAATAAATAAGCAGTTACGTGTTTGGATATAAGTGCTGAAATTGATAATAAGTTGCTGCAGTATTTGATTAAAAAGTGCTGATAAGCTCTTTTTCTATTAAAATGACTTAAATAACCTTAGAACTGTTTACACTTATAAGGGCATAATTTCTTCAAAATTTTAGATTCCTAATCGATTCAAATACAAAATATCCTATTTGTCATTTTATTTTAAATACAACTGTGCTTAGATAAGATAATATTTATGATAAATATAATTTATTTTATGATAAGCATATAATAATAAGTTATAATAATTAATAAATTGACAAAATTTTCTCAATAAAAATAAATCTAAATAGGACAAAATATTGAAGAGAAACAAATACTGTCTTCGTCACCACAACACTTAAAAAGCAATACACCAAAAATTTGCTGTCCTCATTTATTACATACAATTCAAAGATTAATATACAATCACATAGATAAAAAAATGCAAAGGAATAGAGAATTTGCTTATTTTATATAGTCAATGAGAATTGCAAACTTGAAGGGGGAAGGGGGGAGAGGGGGGTTAGGTTGAAAAAATACCTGAGGCAGTGAGTATCAATGTAGGAGTTTTGTTCTAAAAAGGAATATTTTAAGGATAAAATAGTAAAAATCTTGGTCAAACTTAAAGTGCTTATAAGCTAAAAATTCATAAGCTAGGGGTGACCAGCTTATGGCTTTTGGCTTATTTTTGACTTATAAGCACTTTTAACTTTACCAAATGCGTAGATAAGCCGAAAAGTGCTTATAAGCTAGTTTGACCGGCTTATAAGCTTAGCCAAACACCCTCTTAATCAGACTGTGGATACTTTTAGTTTCATCATCCCATTTATCTGTCTCCTATTTGAGATATCTTAACGGTGTTAGATACATTATGCCCCAGGTTCAGAAGTAGAGGTAATAAAATGAGGGATATGTGGTCGGTGCATGTCATGATTCGGATCCTATTAGTGAACCTAGTCTGATATTTAAGTGGAGAAGAATAGAGGGGCAACACCATTGCCCTTGGAGTTTCAGAGCTGGAATTAGTGGATTTATTATTATTAAAAAAAAATTCATTTCACCTCAGTTGGAAAAAAGATTCAAATCTATAAACTACGTGAATCTAAACTGTTGTATGTGTTTTCCCTTGAATTAAATATTTTTGCATAAATGCTACTCAATCCATCAATCAATCAACTAAATTCCAATCCCAAATTATTGGGGCTTACGAAATGCTACAGTATAGTATAGCAAATTCTTCCCAGTTGCTTAGCATTCACATTCACATCCACATCAACAAGCCTTTTATCTATGGGCTTGATAATTCTGGTGTGCTCCATTCCCCTCTGTACTCCTTGTACTTATCCCTGAGCAACAACAACAACAAGAAACCCAGTGAAATCCCACAAGTGAGTCTGGGGAGGGTAAAGTGTATGCAGACCTTACCCCTACCTTATGACGGTAGAGAGGTTGTTTCCGAAAGACCCTCGGCTCAAGAGAAGTGAAAATGAAGCAATAAACAGACAGTAGCAACAACAAGGTAATTAAAAATGGGTGCAAATGGAGATACGTGCAATAACAGAGATCTAAAAATACGACACGATAAGAATAGAGTCAATCTCGCCGGAAATAATGACACAATGTGAAATAGCAAGGGGCTAGGAATAGGAAAATACAAGACTAGTACTAATACTACTGGGATGACTAGACGAAACTCTAGACTTCCTGTCAACCTACAACCCTAATCCTCGACCTCCACACCCTCCCATCAAGGGTATGTCCTCGGTGAGCTGAAGTAGGCCATGTCCTGCCTAATCACCCCACCCCAGTACTTCTTAGGCCTCCCTCTACCCCTCCTCTGACCCGCCATGTTCAACCTCTCACACCTCCTAACCGGGGCATCAGGGTCTCTTCTCTTCACGTATCCGAACCATCTCAGCCTCGATTCCAACAACTTATCTTCTACAGGAGCCACGCCCACCTTGTCCCTAATAGACTCGTTCCTAATCTTATCTTTCTTGGTATGCCCACACATCCATCTCAACATCCTCATTTCCGCTATTTTCAACTTCTGGACATGAGATTTCTTGACTGGCCAACACTTGGCCCCATACGTGGCCGGTCTGACTACCGCTTTATAGAACTTGCCTTTTAAGTCTAGGTGGCACATTCTTGTCACATAAAACACCAGAAGCGAGCCTCCATTTCATCCATCCCACTCCAATACGATGTGCGACATCCTCATCGATCTCCCCGTTCCCTGTATCACAGACCCAAGATATTTGAAACTATCTCTCCTGGCAATGACTTGTGTATCCAGCTTCATGTCCACTTCTGCTTCATGAGCCCCAACACTAAGCTTACACTCGAAGTGCTTATCCTTGAGCGGTGTTATTAAAATCCATTGTTTCCTCGCTTAGCGATCTGAAGCGAGAAGTTATTGTTTCATGGATGAAGCCATGCACTTTATGGAAGTACCGCTTCAAACTATGATGCGCAAAGTGAGCTCAACAACAAGCAGTCGGTTCTGTGAATCTTAACTTTGAGGAGTTGGATTAATATTGACATTATTGTACATTGAACAATTAAATTAGTTATTTTAATTGCAATTTGTTCATTATAAGTACTAAATTCACATATATATTTGGATCTTTTTACTGTCATGAATTGTGCGCTCAACTTCAAAGAAGCGTGCGCTTCACTTCTCGCTATTCGCTTCAAGTCCTATGGACCATGTCGCTTTTTTGTTCTTCCTCCTCAATCCTTCATAACTATTTCCAAGCAAAGCTCTATTACTGTTACATCCCTCATCCCCAACAGACCATCCTTAATAGGCAAAAGTGATGTTACCCCTGTCAGGAGGTGAAATTTTTTTCTTACTTCCATCTCCATCTGAAAAAATACCTATACTGCTGCTCAATTTTCTTACTCCTTGATACAGGCATTTCTTTGAGAGACAGGTCTTAAGTAGACAGGTTGATATATTACCTGCTCCAACTTACACCCTTTAGAGAGGTATTGTTTCTTCTCTCCTCCTAGTGGTTCCTCAAACTCCTTGAAAATGGGACTCCGAGCTCGATCTGATATGGATTGTGATTAGCAACTAAAGGCAACCACAAATACATAAGGATTGCTGATTTTACACCTATAAACCTAATTCGACTTTTCTAGGTTCGTGATATTACAATTGGAATCATCCTTAAATTGATCTTAAGTTCTGACATTGATTGGGAGCACAACAAAACTCGTATTACGTGCTTAGTTGGCTTGATTAGCATCACAATTAAAGTATCGCGGTAAACAACCAGGGAGTCATCGACCACATCCTTAGGTCCACTTGTTGTATCTTAGAAGCCATTAATAGTCCCCTGTGCTGTGATGCGCCAGAGAAACAGAAAGGAAAGCATATTTAGGAAAGCAGAACTTCAAGGAAAGGCTATAAACACTAATTTCTTAGAGCAAATGAACTATATGTCTCCAAAAACTAGTTCAACCTGTCCCAGTATCCCTGTTATAGATTTAAAACAGCAACTGTAGATCCCTTAAACTTAAGATCAGTATCAGACCCTTAGCTGACGATCAGCCCGACTATTAATTTCTATTTGATGCTTATTGAACTTTTACTTGGAGTGCTTCAACAAATGCAAATAGAAGTATTAGAACTTTTAGGATAAAACTAGCCTTTGTTACTTTAGTTGTATTCTTCACATAATAACCTTATTAGAAAAGGCAAATTATTTCCATTTCTAAAACAAATACTTACGAGTAAAAGTTCTTCTCATAGTTTATGAACCTGACAGGGCGAGTAATTTGATCAAGTTGCGAGTTTCAGATCAATTGTTGGGTTCTATAGTTGAACTGCAGGTGTATGAAAAATCGGTACCATAATAGAAACAATAAACTGTAGGTATTAATTTTTTGTGGTGTCACCATTTTTTCTTAAACTCCTGTGAGTATGCCTTCTAATTTTGAAAATAAAGGAAAAATATGACCATCCATTTTGTACTTATTCTAATCATGCATATAACACAACCCAAATGACCAAAAGGAATTGAAATTATATATAGATTATTATGTTATTGTTTTTAATGACATATATAAACTGTAGGCATAGCCCAGGGATATGCAGTTCTTCCACTTCATCTTTGAAAAGGTCAATTTTTCTAAATGAAAATGTAAGCTATTCCAGTATGGTCAAATTACCAGGGTCATATTGCCCGTGTTTCACATTTTAGGTCTGTAAGTAATTGAACTTATGCCTGGCTCATGCTTAATTTTTAAGAAGTCAACATCTTCCAAGAGCCAAAATTTGTTCATGGTTTGGTCCTTATGAACGTGTTCATTTCTCAGCTTATTCTTGCACTTCCCTTCAGTTCAAACACGAAAGTCACCTTCACACAACAACTGTGAACAGAGTTGTACTAGGAGATTGCTTTGAACTTCACACGAGCAAGACTGGCTCAATACGAGGGACAGAATTTTGTCCCGAAACGAGAGTTTCCAGATCATCACAAATCAAACTTCTGTTCAATTTTGTAAAAACAAAGTGAGAGCGGATAGCTGAGATAATATTTCTCTTCCATTTCCTGCTTTCTTGGGATTAAGTAATTCTGTGAAATGCATTTGAAGCAGGTTGAAGTGTCACTACTTCACTTACCATCGGAAGGCCTGGCCAGAGATGGGCTTAAATGTCATCTGCTACATTCTTATAAGTTCGCTTGCAATGCTCTGCACATATATAGTTCCTTTTGCCAGCTGTAGATGCTTAGTTTCTACTGGGATATTGAGCCAGATATTTTCTCTGTATTTATTGTTAACTAACTCAAGGAACATTAGAGAGTCATTGCTGAACATTGTATTGTTAGAGGCTTTTCGCTTTCTTCATATGGTTGCTGTATATGTGTAATTTATAAGGAAACTTAACTTGTGACATTTAATGTGCAGCAAGTGCAAAGACCTTTGCTTTCATTTGGTCCAAAAGCTTCCATGAAACTTGCAACATGCCCAATTAATGTCTGCAAGGTTATATTCGCTCATAGACGTTGCTTAATCTTTAAAGTATAAAGTTTCTCTTTGTGTTGTCGATTTCTTTGTCCTGATTGTATTCATTTTTGCAGGAACTGAGGTTGAGTTCTCATCTGATTAATGAATATGGTGATGAGGCTTCACTAATGATCTCAGACGGGGCTTTTTGTACTCAATGGATTAGGAACTTAAAGAAGCCAAAAGGTTCCGTTATCTTTTCCCAGGAGAATGAATGTAGGAGTAATACTGATGCTCTCCAGTTCTGTGGGCAGCCATGTTCCATCCCTGGATCTGTGCTGCAACTTTTAGGCTCTTCGTATTTGTTCCGCGCTACTGCTTGGGAGGTCTATGGCAGGTGACGTGATGATCTTTGTTCTCATGCTTGTTCTGCATACAGTACGGTATTGTTATCTATGTGAGATATGTTCCTTGTGCAATTAACGATGAAGTGATGTTTCAGAAGCATGAAAATATTCTGCCTAGGTGACCACTGCCAATTTTGAAATTTGCAAAATGCATGGTTAGTCAGTCTATGCCATTACTCATGATAAATGTTTGGGAAAGGGATATTAAGAAGGAGCAACAAATCTGCTTTGCTGCAGAATTAGAAAGATCCTCAAGTGTCATTACTTTCAAATGCAAAATAACAAGTATTACTCCCTCGCTTCCCGATTTATGGGTTTCACCTTGACCGGGCAGGTATTAAGGCCTTAATAGTTCTTTTAGATTTTGAAAATTGAATTTGACTTCTGAATAATTTGAAGAACTTAAGTACAAAATGTGGCACGGTGCTCTCTTGATAGGAGAATATTGGGAAAGTATTTAAGTAAGGGAAAAGCTTATCTTTTCGAGAAACGGACAGTCCTTTGGGTAACCAAAATGGAATTTAGGCGGACGAGTAAATCCTTAGTGTGAGCAGTTTATGATGCTATATCTGTCCTATATTTCAGTCCTGCACAAGAACAAAACAGGACATTTAAAAAAATTGAAGTTTTTGGTCAGTTTACTATTAAATAACATATTTTATGGACACTTAGTTGCCAAATGAACTGAAACTAAAGGTCATAAAGGAAGATTGTAAGCTTTTCTTGTCCCTTTAACTATAGTTTTAGATCCTTTAGTTAAAACGACAGTAGAAGAGACTAAAGGAGATTTGAGGTTAGAAACTGACCAGAGATGTGGTCGGAATCCAAAGGATGAATACTATGTCACATACGCAGAGTTACCAAGTTGAGCTATATCAGCTATACAGCTATAGAGCTATGTAAGCCATAGAAGAGGATGATGGCTGCTGTTTTCCTGTGCAGTGCCGAAGATGATCATCACAGTTAGCTCCAGTACTAAATAGAAAGCTTAATAATTTATCATTAGTTCCATGTACTAAACAGCATGAAACACAGCACCTAATTAGGGGAGTGTGCTCTTCTGTAGTTTTAGGACTTGCCGAATGACAATGGTATCTAAGATTTCTTCACAACCTTAATTTATTATAAAAGGACCAACTCACTCTCTTAAAAGTTTTGGATTTGCAAAGGAAATAGGAAAGCAGTGTCCAATTTGCGTAGCCCAGAATAACAAAAGTATGAAGCCAGTTGGAGATTATAAACACCAACTCGTAATGGGATGGGTTTGCCTTATAAGCTTGTAGATCAAATGCTGCTTTATCAGTTCAAAGAAGGCTAGATAGAACTTCCAATGCAGTTCACATTTTTAGGTGTTTTATTGTCACCTGTCAGCTATGTATATAATCTGTACATCGCAAAGCACTCAATTCTAGTTCAGATGTCTTTACTGATTTTCTTCTCTTTTTGTATGCTAATTTAGTGCACCTCTTGCTCGAATGAATGCACTGCTTTATGCGACATGCTTTGCTGGCTCATCGAGGTAATACTTGTATGAATTTTTAAGTAGTTGAGCTGTTTGAAACTGTGCCTCCATATTTTTCGACTGAAATTTGCTTTCTTTTCTGCATGCAGTTTGGATGATGTGGCATTAGCGTATGGAAAACTTATCCAGCATCTAGCAGTATTTAAAGGATACAAAGGTTAGCTAAAAATATTTTATACTTCAGAAGTATTCTTGAATTGGCATAGCTACACAGTAGTTGTACATGTATCTGTTGGCTCATGTCATTGTGGTGCATAGATGAGAGTAGTAGAGCGTTACTATACTTAAGTCATTTGCTGATGCATTGTTTACTTGATTTCTTTTGTTTATTCAATGGAATTGCATTCTTTTAGACATAGTTGGACCATAGGTAACTGAACTCCAAAAGCTAGCTCATTAGACCCAAGACCATATAAGAAGACCGCAAACTATTCCCTCAACCAATTTGGACACTCTAACAATCCCTCCCCCAACACGACTACAACTAGACATGTGTACTGTGAACAAACATATAATTGGAGCCCAGCATTGAGTAAACCTAGAATAGGTATGAGCTTGAATCTGATACCATGTTAAGAAAATGGACCTTGGGCCTAACTCAACTCCAAAAGTTAGCTCATGTGGTGAGGATTGCCTAAAATCATACAAGGAGACATGGTAAAGACTGTGGGCCTTGAGCCTATTCCCTCAACCAATGTGGGACACAAATCTTTGAAGACTTACCAGAGAACTTGGTAAGAACTGAACACAGCCTTCTGACAACACATGTCTGTTCAAGTAAAAATTGGTGTTTTGGCAGAAATGCAGGAAAGTGCAGAACTGATTAGCCTTCTCTTCTAGAGACGAATAACATTCACGTGTAATTTAGTCGGAAGAAAGATAGAAGTAGGTCAAATGGAAATATGATTGTGATAGGCTAATGAGTTGTGGCCAAAGTGGTTGCCGGTAAATACTAGGCTACCTCATACCAGTTCATATTACAATAAGCATTTTGGAAGTAGTGCGGGAAAAAGCTTCAGAACTAATTAGCCTTTTCTTGTAGAGAAGAACATTGCTGTGCAATCCGGTCGGGAGAAGGTAGAAACAGATGAACTTAAATAGATCATGATAGGCTGCTGACTTATGACCAAAGTGTTTGCTGGTAAATCAGTGGGTAGGGATCCATATTTGTCTTCAGTCTTATGCCAGGTTTTAGTTTACTGTGCCCAAATTAGTATATAATCCTTCATACTTTATTTTTACATATGTGAGAGTAGGAAGGCAGATCTATTTCTTTCCTTTCTCTGTTAAAAAAATTTATCCTCTTCCCCTACGTCCCTCAGAAAATACAAGGAAAGCAAAGTGGAAAAGTGACTTGATATTATAGTTTATAGTTTATTTTTGTTTTTTTGCTCATACTCAATAATGGCTTCTTTTGTGCGCCTTCAGAAGCTTTTGCTGCTCTGAAACTTGCGGAGGAGAAGTTTTTATCCGTTTCAAAGTCACAAATTCAGCTTGTAAAACTACAATTGCTCCATGATCATGCTTTACATACGTAAGGAGACTTCTCTAATGCTAATCAAGTTGCATAAAATTATTCTTACTTGGTTTTAAACTTCCTTTTGCTTGTCTGATTGGATATTAGTTGCCTCTCAGGGGAAATTTAAAACTTGCTCAACAGTTGTGTGATGAGCTAGGTGTTTTAGCCTCTTCAGTAACTGGTGTAGATATAGAGATAAAAGTTGAAGCTAGCCTCCGCCATGCACGAATACTAATTGCAGCTAACCAATTTAGCCAGGTAGTCTGCTTTCCTTTAGTTAGATCTCTTTCGAGTAGATTCAGTAAGGTATATGTTGGATGGTGAACTTGTTCTTATATCTACATGACCTGCTAACTTAATAGTTTCTGCTTCTCTTTTTGAACTTTGAACAAATGAGATGGTGCAAGAATCTTATTGATTAATTTTTTTGCTCATGCACTATCATTTCTAATCAAAAGAAGAATGTGCCCACTTGCTCCCAAGAAAAGGTGAATGAATAATGAAAAGGAATATGGTCAAGTACATCCTAAACTGGTGATTTTCAAATACACTTGTGATAGAAAATTGGATACCTTTGTTGCTTGCTCTTTGGTCAGGAAAAGATTTAAGTTTTCTTGTTTTTCTTTATGCTTTTCCCTATTCTATTTGCATAAATATATTCACTTTTAAGGCTTTGGCTGTTCTTCTAAGTGAATCATTATACTGTTATGCTGATGATCATGTTTTTTCTTTAGTTCATTGCCTGTATTAGTACTGATAGATCATTTTCATTGTCCTCAAGGCCTTCAATTTTCTGGAAAACTTGCATGGTTTTCTGGAATGAGCAGTTTTTTCTCTTGATAATGGACATGAAAATCACGAGGCCATGGTCTGGTTCAAAGTGGCAGCACCAGCAAGTCTGGTCTTGGTTCTAAAGTCTAGTAATATTTGATCATGCTTGATTCTGCAAAGCATGCTTGCAAACAGAGTATGAATAGATCACTTACAGGTTTGCCTGTGCCTGTGATGCCGAGGATTTTAACCACATCGACTCTACTCTTTGGTCTTGCAGCCAATGTGGTGATAATGATCATTCTGCAAGACTATTCTGAATGAGCTGTTACCTTAAGATATTGGAATATCACCTACCAAAAAGAAAATATTTGAATATGAAATTTGTTTATATAGACAAGTCCACTCTGAATCTCTTTTCCCCAAGTTCTCACAAATTTTGTTTCTCTTACATCTGATAACTTGATATTGTGCTGTGGTGCTAAAGTATATTTCATCCTTTTCTGATTTTCTAAGCTATAGGCAATAATTTGCTCTAGTTTGAACAGTGACAGAGGCCAAAGGCAATAAGCATCTAAAGAATTTCTTAATTTCCATTCTTGTGCATATGATTCTTCCAGGCAGCAGCTATCGCACACTCTCTCTTCTGTATGTGCTACAAATTCAGTTTACAAGTCGAGAATGCCACTGTTCTTCTTTTACTTGCAGAGATACACAAGGTATTGATTTACTGTTAATCAATATTTTTGCTCACATGCAAGTACTTTCTTATAAAAAATATCACCTCGTCAGAAGAGATGGAACTTCTTTTACCGCTTATGCATCTTCACTATTGGATTTGTAAAACTTGAACTACTGAGCCCACACTCTTTCCTTTCTCTGACACGATCAAGATGTAATATAACTATGTTCATCCATTTCAGAGATCAGGAAATGCTGTTTTAGGTATTCCGTACGCGTTGGCAAGCCTTTCCTTTTGTAACTCATTCAACTTAGACCTTCTCAAAGCATCTGCTACGCTGACGCTGGCAGAGCTTTGGCTCTCACTTGGATCAAGTCATGCAAAAAGAGCTTTGGCTCTCATACATGGGGCATTTCCTGTACTTCTTGGTCACGGTGGTTTGGAGCTTCGTGCTCGGGCCTTTATCACTGAAGCAAAATGCTATCTTGCTGACTCGAGCTTTTCAGGTGCCTTATCGGAATTTTAGTGCTCCACCTGTTTGCTATACTTAGTGTAAACATGACTTTTCATTAGCTTGTGCTCTAATCAGATCTCATTTGTGTTTTCAACCTCATATATAATTCTTCATTTTTGAGTTTTAACTACATCCTGTGTTTTCAACCTCATATATAATTCTTGTCCATGTCACCCAAATGATGCAAATGCCTCCACATTTTGCAAATTACGTTTTTTAAGTAATGGATTACATGGTCCATCATAAGTGATAATCAGAGGATTAAGAGAAATTTGGGCAGTTTTTTGCGTAAGGACTCTTTTTTAGCAATTATAGCTCTTGTGAATGCCTACGATTTTATGAATCAGAATGGAACAGGAGAACCTGCCAATCACTCCAATAGTTTGCCTCATCTCCAGCCATGACTTGCCATCTACCTTTCCCCTTTCCCAATCAAGCTGCCCTCCATTCCCACCTCCCATGGTTCATATATCCTTTGACCTTGAGATTTTTTTATGATTAATTTGCCGCTCTTTGAATATGATTTACCATATTTGAGTCAAATATAAATGACAAGGACAAACTAGTTCCACTTGAAAACAATTATAACCTAAATTGAAAATAATATATTTTGGGATTTAGCTGGTATAAGTGTATCAATATAGTCTTATGAAGTCTTATGTGGCCTTTCCTTGCAAGAATTACATCATCCTGCCCTGTACCTCACTTGAGACTCTACCTCCCATTAATGCACACACAGAGACGTGCAAGTCAATTAGAAATTGAAAATTAAGTAGCTGCTGAATTTTCTTGTTGCGCTATCTTCTTAAATTTTTGACCATTGCTTAGTGTTACTTATTGTTCTCAGTATCTGAAGAACCAGAGATGGTACTTGAACCGTTGAGGCAGGCTTCCGAAGACCTGGAACTTATAGAGGTTAGTCAATATGGACAATTTGGTATTCAAATCAATGACATTTATACTCTAGTTAAAAGACTTCAGTTTTGGTTCCAAGAAATTTGAAATTCTTCATTGTGTATTAATATGCTACAAGAGAAGTACATTGGATTACGTTGTGGGAAATGATATACATCAATAGCTAAGTGAAATAATATCTAGAAGATACAAAAGTTGTATTCTGTGAAATTCATCTTTCTTTCTTAAATACAATGTTTTCTTTACCCTGTCAAAAAGCCTCTACTCTAAGCAAATGTGTGTGTGTGTGTGTGTTTTAGTGAGGTTTTTTTGTGTTCACATATATGGACAAATAGCTGTAAGCCTGCTATACAAAATAAAAACATGTTAAAAGTAGAGTGTAAATGAGAAACACGAAGGCATAACTATCTAAAATTATCATTTGAGTGAGTTGAAGGAGAATTAAAAAGAGAAAGTAAAGAAAGGTACAATTCTGTAAACTGTAATTACCAATTATGTGAGATTAACGGAAAGAAATGAAAGGGCTGAGGCCGAAAAGAAGCAATTCTATAAGATTAGGGTTCAATTAGGTGAACTAGATGCTCTTCAGAATTGAGAACCAATTGAGTCAGGTGAAGGAAAAGAGAAAAAGATTAAAGTACGTGAATTAACTTTCTCCATTTTCCTGACCCTCTTCAAAGAAAGTATTTTCCTTAAAATATACTAAGTCTTTCCCTCCCCGATCCACCCTATTTTCTTTTCCATCATACTTGTTTTGTTGTTCCAAATCTTAGAAAAGTAAATCCATGTTCCATTCTGGGCCTTGCAGAATACTTTTCGGACTCCAGCTTCTATTTGTTAGCTGAATTCGATAAAATCGCCGGAGATGTTTAATCTGCAAAATTTACTCTTATTTCATCAATTCTCGTGAACGTGGAGTAACCAATGCTGTTTGTGTAGCACTAGATTTGGCATTTTGCATCCAATTCCATTGTAAATTATCATATTTTCTTCCATTAATTCTCTAGGCGTCAACCAGAAGTAGGAACCATGGAGAGATACTCTAGAGAATAAAAGATTTTAAGATAAGTAGAAGTAAGACATAGTATAAGCACTACCAGTGTAGTTCCATGAGAAAGGTGAAGGTGAAACGAAATTAGAAGTGATTATTGTGCCTAAATGTATACAGTTGAGATATCCAAGCTTAATTTTGTAATACATAAAATTAAAATAGGCGGCTGAAATGACGAGTGCTACTAGATTGCTAATCATGTGATTGCTTCCAGTTTTAATGCCGCGCTAGGTTCTAATTTTTTTGTCTTAACAGGTATTGCCAGTCTAGATGAACTAGTGCGTTGGGCATATTTGTCTTGCCTATATTCTGGATTTCTGTACTGTAATTCTCACAAGATAGTAAACAATAGGAGTTCATTGGCTTTTCTGCTATCATATTTGAATATGATTAGCCTTTCCTAACAATAAAAGAAAGATTAGGTTAAAAGCTTTGTTGTGGTGAGCTCCTAACTTCATGCCCCGCCCAAAGGCAATCTTGTAGAGCAATGTTTTACATATTTTTTTAACCTATTCATCTTAGCTTTGACTTGTTTTTCTGAGAAATAGGGAAAACAATTTGGAATTTGCACATGATCAGCTCAACTAAACCTTCTTTGTGAATCTAATAGGTGATGTCGCAACATTTTTTTTTTAATTTTATCATTTTAAGGTCAATACGTTAGGTCAGAATTGTAAATCCCTACTTAAGTGCTTGAAGAATCTAGTTCTCGGCATACTTAAGTTTGATTGTCTACCATAATAGATTCTAGACCAGGAAGAAGTTCGAATTACCCATTATTATAGAGAAGCCAACCGAGTGGCTGATCTTCTTGCCAAAAAAGCTGCAAACAGTGGCAATAGCTCATATCCTCATACTGCTACACATTCCAGCAATTGCCTAGAGAAGCTAAGGGTCCTTTTCACGTGGATAAATGACGGTTGCCTAGCATAAGAAGTAGATTTGACAAAGCCATTTTTTGTAAGTTAATGTATTTTCTTTCCTCATGGAAGAGAAGCTGCATATGATTAGCTCTTTCATGAGTTTTTTGAAGGCTGTCTCAGCTGCAGTCTAGTGCTTATGGAAGGTCAGGTACATGGCCCCCCTTCTCTTTTGTCATCTTTTACCTTCTATGTACATGGTAGGGGTCAAGCCAAACCCCCAACACCTCCGGATCCTTTCCCTGGCTGATGGCTTTCAATTAAAAAAAAATGAGACTACCATAATAGAGGAACATACACTAACTATCACAATGAATCCAATTCCCACTTGTGAGTGCACTGAACTGTTTCTGTTTTCTGGTAAAGTGGGACATGCCTTCGCTTGGCTCACAATTGCCCGTCCCTCCACTGCCCCCCAATAAAAGCAAAGATAAATTTCTGACATGACAATGAATTTTCTTATGCAGTATCACAAATTGGCAGCAGAAGCTTTTTACTTGATGGCCATTGTATATGACAAGCTGGGGCAGCTGGACCACAGGGAAGAAGCAGCTTCTTCATTTAGGAAACACATCACTACTCTTGAAAGCTCTGATATTGAAGATCCTCTTTAATATTGTTGCTAAGAACCAGTATTTTACGTAAATATGCCCTTGGTGAGTGATTATTTGCCTCCTTGCAGCTACTTATAAGAGTAGATTTTAGCTCTTGATACAGAATTGTTCACTAGATCAACAACGATTCCGGAGTCTATTGGTTAAAGTATGTCTCAACAGGATAATTTTGTAACTTCATATATTTGGGAACCAAAACTCTTGCTGTCAGTATGAATTGACGATTTGAAAGTCATCGTATTAACTGGAAGAGAAGTGTGCAAGCAGAAGGAAAAATAAGCTATACGACGTTCTACCTTGTACTATGTCGGTTAATCGAGAGTTTGCAGTTTTCTTCAATTCCGAAAGAGTATGCTTGGTTTTAAGAACAAGGAACATTAGCTAACTAATTTCATTTGACTGAAACTAGAGAAAAGAAAATCATCTATATTCCGTGCTTAACTGAAAAAACTGAGAGACACTAGCATAGCTGGAAGTTGGGTGTAACATCTAGGTGTTGCTCTTCAGTTGTTATACAAGAAAATACAATTTTATTTATTTATTTTTGTGGGGAATAACCCTTCCCCGTCATGAGTATTGGACATTTATCTCCTTGCTCTACAAAAAAAAAAGCATAATACCTCCCAATGCACTTAGAGATCTAAATGGGGGAAGAGAAGAGTTCAGAGTTACCTGATAAGGACTATCCTTAAGCATGATGAGTTTGCCTCCGATACTTTTTGCCTTTCCTATTGAATCCTGGAGGTTCCGTTCCATTTACAAGGCCCACGAGTAAGACAACTAGATCAAAAGGCGAAAAGTTTTCTTAATCTAGTGGGAGTTGCTTTGCAAGAACTATCTAATTAAGTTTTCTTTTTCCTATCACAGGCAGCTGGCAAATCCGTGTTGGACTGTCTCATACATGCTTTGTTACAGCTTCATTCATGCACCATGAGAAGCATTCTAAATTTCTAATGGAATACCCATGTGGACATTGATTGTGATATAATCATATAAAGACAGTGAAGATATCACGGATGTGGTGGCTTTCCGATTGCAATCTTAGAAACGCCTCAAATTTCTTGGCAAGTGTATCGTCGCTATCCTCCAATTTCCGATTGAGGCACATTTTTGTTGTTGATGGTGGTTGAGGAACATTAGTGCTAGATGGCCATGCTATACCAGTTAGAGTGTACCAACACCTTTTGAGTATGATTATTGGAAGATAACCATGATTTTGTTGGCCCGTTTGCGAGGCCGAAAAGGCTAAGGCTAAATGATTGCTCCGCGGTGTTGAACTAGATATCCACAATCGCTGATCGAGAGATAGAGATCTAAAGAAGCCTCCTGAAGAGATTGTCTACAGTAAGAACCTTTTCCAACTTTTCTTATGATGTGTAAGATCTTCTCTCGTTGTACAGATTGTTCTATAGGATTAGCAATGTAGTAGGATATCAGATATTAAGTACATCATAAGAAGAAAAAAAAAAGTACATCATAAGACATTGAGCCATGTTGAAAGTTGAGATCTTCAGACTTATCACCTCATCAACATGATAAAATCATTTGACACCATGTGCAGAGATTTATCCTGAGCCCAGACAAGTAACTTAGCAGTAGTAATTGTAGGATTACCATAGATGTAAGGGACCATTATTGTGAAGATAGGTGCCGAAAGACTGAAAAAGAGCTTCGAGGGTTGTGGCAGTGGATCGAATAGCCTCAAAATACCTTCTAATGTGTTGAATATTTTATGGTGTGGAAGGGGAATATGTATGGCTAGAGAGAAAGTCGACCGGAATGAACATCCAAACGATGCTAGAGAGAAGATAGAGGTCTTCTGATTTCCCATTGTGCTACCATTTGGAGAACAAGTGTGGAGAGAGTGGAAGTGTCAGAATGTGTAAGAGAAAGGTGTTTGAATTCACGAGCATTAACAAAGAGGGTGCTGATAAGAAATTTGTGAAAGTCTATATTTAAGAGGACGCCCCTTTATAATACGAACTTTGCCTATGCATATGACGCAATTATATTTCTTTTGCCGATAGAGTCGCCTTGAGTCACTCCTAGGAATTAGCCTCGAGTCACTTAGTGAATGGTAATGAAAGAACCAAATACATTCATCATAAAGTTTAAATTGCAACGAGGTTAAAGGTTTACCTTTCAATTAATGAGTTATCTAATCTATCAGTGGAACAAGAAAACTTATTGTACAGGATACGACTGAGAAAATTCGAACACGTATTGTAGCATCGAAAAAATTCAAGTGGATAAGGTGATTAGGAACGTCACTCGTCAGCAATAGTTTGCCTTCTGCCTATCCGTTCTAACAAAATTATTAATATTGCTGGGAAAGTGGTTATTCAAATGCAAATTCATTGCACAAAAGAGGCATTTCTATTTTCTGTCACTTAGTTAAAAATAAAGTTGATCGAGGCATTTCTATTTTCTGTCACTTGGTTAAAAATAAAGTTGATCGGAAGGTAACTTTTCTTTCACCTAAAAGCTGACGTGGCTCTCCAAATCACCTAATATGTTAAATAAAACAACCCTAATTCTAATTAACCTATTTTATATCCATATTATAGACTTGACCCTGTGACTTGTTTTTCAAAACAGGTTAATTTACATTTGACTCAGGAAGCTTTCAGGTGAGACAAAAGTTACCTTTCGGCCGTTCTATTCTTTAGTTAATCAGGCAATAGTGAAGTGAGAGAAGAGTTACCTTTCGGCCGTTCTATTCTTTAGTTAATTAGGCAATAGTGAAATGATTTTAAGTGACAAAAAATAGAATAGCGATTTTTATGCAATGCACTTTTACTTGAATGACCACCGAGAATTGTTTTCCAATAATGCTTACTAGTATGAAATTATATTTCATTAGCCGCAAGTTTTAATGTCTAAGACTAAACTTTACAACAAACATGTGTTGCACGGTGGAAAAATGACTTTAGTGATCCTCAAAATTAAAGATGGTATATCATGCAATGCGGGCATTCAGTTGTTTGGCACTTTAGTTGAGGAAGATTAAAGTTAAGCATGGAAAGTCAATATTCGTTAGCTAGAATCATCTTTAGTTTATGTGCAGATTGTAGTTATGCTTTAAAGGAAAAGATCTCCGTCGATCATCAAATTGTACATGAATTAGCCTTTTTCACTGCTTCTGTGCTTCATAAATTGAGCCTTCACAAGCACCTTCAATGGCCTTTCTTTCATAATCCCATGTTCCAACTCCAAGAAGAGTTAGTTCTATGAAATATTGTGCAATTACAGAGATATTGCATCACTATTACATCATATTGTGGCAATGGATGTCCCTGATTCGTTGCTTTTGGCTCATGCTTTTCACATTCAATGTTCTTGGAAGCTTGTGTTGAAGCTTTGCCTTTTACAACAACGGAGATAGTTCCATATGGATGGTTGAAATGGGTACAAATTCTCTCTGTTGCGAAACGTATGGTCTCCCAACACTACTAAGCTGTTCAAGTTTTGCGGGATATTGCAAATGTTTATGTTTGTTGAGGGGGCTTGTGCATGAGTTCATGCCTATTATTTTACTAGTTTTTGGGCAACCCCTAATGCTTAAAATAATATAAATATTATTAAAAATGTATTTTTAGTTAGTTATAACATAAAATTTAATTGCAAATTCTAAAATAATGAATGTTGATCTTACTTAGCAAATTCTATAAAAGAAGAAACCTTACCCCATATGTTCGTGGATACCTTAGATGCTAAGGTTCCTTTATTTTAGATAATCCGTAAATATAATAGCAAAGAAGCCAATACAAACGAACTGCGCTAAGTAAATAATTCAATTTAATTGCAAAAATGCAATTGGCTATTACAAGAATATCATAATAATCATAAGAATACAAGGTTTCGTGAAGGTATTTTAAATATAAATTTTTAAGAAATCAAAAGAACAAAATAATTAAGGAATACACACCAACTTAACATAAATTTATATTTTCGTATGTCAGAGATATTTATTCATTACCAGAGGAGAGACTAACCACTTGCACTCAACTGCTTCATTTGCTGCATCCTCAACTCTATTAGGCAAAAATTTAACCTCTATCTTTCACCTGCAACAAAAATCACAAAATGGGGTTTAAGATATCGATACTTTAAATGAATCCAAATCAGAAAATTTAAAATTATGAGTAATGAATGTGCATAAAAAATAACAAAGTGGAGATAATGAAGTTTCTTTCGTAGAATAGAAAGTAAAGTTACATCGCTAGATGAATTCAGATACGAAAAATATAAAATTTTGAGTACTGAACTTACATAGAGAAAAGGATGGAGATAAACTTTTGCCCAGATGTGAGAGGTAAAGCTACAATATGAAAGGTTATGAAGATCAGTCAATTAAGAAGGTATTACAATAACAACAACATACCTAGTAAAAGTCAATTAAGAAGGTATCTTTCTAAAATTTTAAAAGGAAGAATAAATATGAGTGTTCTTGTAATTTAGCGTGATTTAAAAAGCATAATAAATGTAAGATGTCATAAGTCAAAACAAACTCTATCGCCAATATATGCTAAATAAACCTTGTATATATTGAATGGATAATTAATTAATTGATACTAATAATTTGCATTCAGTAGATGAATTTGGCGTGTATTAAATTAGCCAAATGAATTTAACCTATTGTGCCATTCAACGCAACTCACATTCTCCAAAAAAATTTAAACTTTATTAGAATGTGTAATTTCATTTTTGCACATTCTTTTTTACTTTAGTTGTATTTGCTTGAAGGGTAAAGAAAGTCATTTAACTTTTATAGGACAATTTAGTAATTTAACTTTTACTTTGGGTCTTCCTACTTATAATATAATATGATATGATGATTCGAGAGATAATTTTAGAGTTCTCTAAGATGTTTTACTTTATAACACAAACTTTTCAGGTGATTTCTGATATTAGTTTTACCTTCGTTATTTTATTTTATTTGTAATAATTTATTTATTCTGTTTATCATTATCTGAAAAGAAAACATATGCAACTTTATCACCAACATGAGCAAACTACCAGATTCGTAGGCTAACACTCTTGTAAATAGGAGAATCACATCCCTTGTGATTCAGTTTAAATCGTAATCTACTAATTCTCTCAAAGGTCAATGCAATGAACTCAAAGTCATGGCTAAATTTTATTTTTCTAATTCACTATTGAAAAGTAAATTAATAGAGGGATTGAAATGCAGTATGCACTCTATATATTTCCGGTGAATCAAGCAAGCTTTTGAATCTATATCTATATTATATTAAAAGGAGAGTAGTATGCATTGTGGTTAAACCAAGTGGCAAGGTAAAATTAAGCCACTTGGCAATATAGGACAACATTAATTATAAGAAATTATAAATGGAAACATAACTAAGGGAAGTAGTTTAGTGAATCTTATACATAATCTAAATATATCTTAGACAAATGACAAATCTAATCTCGCTCTCTCTTTATATATATATAAAGAGAGAGCGAGATTAGATTTGTCATTTGTCTAAGATATATTTAGATTATGTATAAGATTCACTAAACTACTTCCCTTAGTTATGTTTCCATTTATAATTTCTTATAATTAATGTTGTCCTATATTGCCAAGTGGCTTAATTTTACCTTGCCACTTGGTTTAACCACAATGCATACTACTCTCCTTTTAATATAATATAGATATAGATTCAAAAGCTTGCTTGATTCACCGGAAATATATAGAGTGCATACTGCATTTCAATCCCTCTATTAATTTACTTTTCAATAGTGAATTAGAAAAATAAAATTTAGCCATGACTTTGAGTTCATTGCATTGACCTTTGAGAGAATTAGTAGATTACGATTTAAACTGAATCACAAGGGATGTGATTCTCCTATTTACAAGAGTGTTAGCCTACGAATCTGGTAGTTTGCTCATGTTGGTGATAAAGTTGCATATGTTTTCTTTTCAGATAATGATAAACAGAATAAATAAATTATTACAAATAAAATAAAATAACGAAGGTAAAACTAATATCAGAAATCACCTGAAAAGTTTGTGTTATAAAGTAAAACATCTTAGAGAACTCTAAAATTATCTCTCGAATCATCATANTATAATGTGGTCAAACAAATAAGAAATTAACTGTTATGATTAATACTAAAAAGTGTGTGGTAGAAATAGATATTAAATTAAACAAGCTAATGAAAGCCACATAACTATATATTATGTATTGAATAATAGAATAGCAAAAATAAGGAATAAATAGAGAGACATTAATCAAAACCTTCATCATAAAGAAAAATAATAAAACTTATTTAAATTTGAGATGAGAATGTTGTTATTTATCTATTATGATAAGAAAGATCATGTTGTGGATAATACCACGCAACTTATGTCTAACAGATAAAATAAGAACTTAAAAATATTAAAATTAAATTAGAAATAGCGTGAGAATATTTATGCTAAGAATTAGTTTAGAAAATAAAATAAAGTGAAATAAAATACTTAAAAATACTATTGATAAATTAAATAACTTAAGAATTCAAGCAATATTTTTAAAATAAAATAGATATTTATTTTAAGATTATGAAATTTCTAGATTTATCTATATTATATTAAAGGATAGTAATGGATAATAATACTAAATAAAGTGGCACCAAAAATTAAAGTCTTACTAGATATAGAATTAAAATTTAAAAAATATAAAATAAATATCTAATATAAGTAATTTTATTAACTAAAATGGAAAGTCAAATTTTGTATCTTGAAACTAAAAGAGAATTTCTTTTATTGCATGTAATACAAAAAAATAAATATAAAAAAACTTAATAGATTTGGAATATAATAATAAAAGAACTTATATATTAATATTTTATATTAATCAAAGTTACAACTAAAAGTAAAATATGATATTATTTTGATTACAGGTAAAATATCAATTAAAAATTTCTCAATAGGGAAGAGATTATATAAAGAAAAAATTAGATATAATGTGAGAATATTTATACTTTAAATTAATTTAAAAAAATAAAGTAAATAATTGGATAATATTCAAAAATATTATTGATAGATTTAAATAGTAAAATAGTATCGAGTAAGAGGATAAAAGCGTAAAATATATTAAATTTCAAGAATAAAAA